AGGTATATTTTTATGTCTTTCGTCCGACAGCCGAGTCCAAAGCAGTAAGGAAATATTCTCTCTAACAACACTTACATAAGATAAACAATAGTTTCAATATAATGATCATAAAACCTAAATTCTGAGTCATATAACATAAGATAGTTGCTTGTATTTAAGCTCTGATCTTGTGTAGCATGAATAAACCCTAAGCTCTGAACTCTTTACCAATATTTACTATTGCCGATCAAAATAAAATATCAATGACCAATATTTACCCAAATAAAAAAAAGAGAGAGAAAAGAAAAAGAGATATAGCTTGTAGCATTTGTCTATGGGTGTCCAAGTAAAAAAAAAAAGGGTACATCATTATCTTGGATCATTCATTGGAAGAATCCTTTAAATGTAGGTGATTTGCTGGCTATTAATCATATTAAATAACCTTTCTTTTGGCTTCCATTGGTATGGCTGATGCTAACCATCAGGAAACAACCTTACTGTGCTCCCCGTCTTCAACTGACATGAAGGGGAAATATTAGATTCGATAAACTGTTAAGCCTACTGTTAAGAAAATCGGTTCATTATGTTGTTCAATCTTTCACGCCACAATCTATCTTATATATGCATAAGTCTAACATTCGTCCAGACATTGAGCGTCGTTGTCACATCTAATCTGGTACTTCTGGTATACACCTAGAGATTTTTTTTTGTTTGGGAATAGGTAAAAATCTACATTTTAAAGGCATTTTTAAAGTTTTCAATCGATGCGCCAATTTTTTACAGGCTGTTCAGAGTACCCGGTGATCCCAATTGAAACCTCCATCCAAGTACTAACCGGGATCATTGCTGCTTAAATTCGGTGATTGGAAAGGGACCGGTGTTACAGTGGGATTTAATCGTAAGCTATTTAACTTTGGATACTAAGCATGCCCGGTCAATTTGTAGACAATCATGGCCATCTTGATATTACATTTTTTTATTATCTGTGCGTATCTATTACTTCTTGCTAATATTACTGTTGTGGCCTCTTTAGGGGCCAGAAAAAAAGACACGGAAAACGAAGGTAGAGGTTGAAAATGTATATTGAAGACAAAACAATAATGTTAGTAATAAGTAGATTAGCACTGCGTCTACTACTCCACTTTCGATAATCCGACTCTCGCAGTTTGTATTTATGAGAGGAGGAAGAGTTCATTCTACTGTAGAAAGATTTATCAAAACAATTACAATAAACTGGATCATTGTCTAGCATCATATTTTTAGACTAGTAATCTTGTTAAGAGTTCAATCTTTATTGTATGTAGCGCTTGAATCACTATGTCAAACGGAGATCAAATATATTTTTATGGCATGTACCTTCAAGATGGAATAGATCAAGACTTTCTATAGAATATTTTACTCTGTTATTTGCCGTGCAATCTTGGGAAAGTGCTGCTGACCGGTTTTTTTGTTGTCTCAGGGATTCTGAGTCCGTCCCCTGGACTGGCTACCAAGAAAAATTGACTCTGCAATTGAATGATTAGCTGGGGGTCATAATAGTTTGCACCATTCCGAGGGGCATTAGTGAGATTAGTAAACGCAGAGCAACCCCAGTTTCTGCTCAGATAATCGCTACACTACCAGTTATAACAAACTGAGAAACATCCCAGAAATATCCCTCTTATTTTGACAGAGTATAGTCAAAGTTGGAAACACGGTAGAGTAATGGATAGCAGCTCGGATTGAGGAATCGGAGAGTTGAGTTCGAATTCCAGTCGTATCCATTACATTCATTTACTTGCTAATACCTTTGAGAAAAGTATAAATCCTCTTCTTCCTCCCACCAAGCCATGGCTAAATATGAGATAGACTGGGTCCTATAGCTTTGGATCGCAGCCAATCTAGGAGAAAGTAAGACTGAACACAAAACTGTATGCATCTCTGCCGTAGTACATAGTATAAAGCCAAAAAATTCGGAGATGGAACCCCTAAAGCAGTTCGTCGCTGATTTTGGTCTCGTTCTGGAAGTGAAGGTGCTGGTGCCAAACTGTAATGGCCTTGCTGTTTCTTTCGATCCATCAGAGAGATGCAGCATGCTGCACGGGCAACATCTTGTTTTCTATAACATCCTACCCATGTTCGAGCCAACCTTACTGATTAGTGAAATCAAATCCATTGGTCCTTGATGACCAGATGAGGACTATGTATGTAGTCACAGTATCACACCAGTAGCTAACAGAGGTCAGCTAAAATGCAGCTGAACACAAGAAAACGATAAGGAAAAGGGAACTAGAAAAGATGCAAATTAATCTGATTCCTTATTCTTTTCTATTGTATTCTTATTTGAATTCCGCATTATGTAAAAAAAGCCTCTTTGCGTTGATCGATTCTCCTGACAGGAATTCAATTTTATTTCAGAACAAGAAAGCGTGGAGAAACGCAAGATTGTTATCAATCAAAACCTGGTATAAATGCCCCTGGCTGTTTACTACACTGAAGCTTGTAAGGGAAGGTTGAAATTAACTTAGAGTTATTTAATTAGTAATTTTCTTCAAATACGTTAATGGGCTTAGACCGACAATTTTGATGGCGTCATAAAAATAACTGCGCATTGAAAAAGAAGCGTAGAGAAAAGCATCATTTGTGAGAAAGCACATCATATTATTCCATTATATTTTTCTCCATCGGTTAACTTCATCTTTAACGTTTTCACCTTTTTCATTTTCTACTGATGTTTTCTTAACCCCCCCCCTTGTTGTTAGAAAAATTATGGAGTTGATTTTTCGCAATTAGTATCAGATATTGTCCTGAGCCCTATATTCGATGAGGTTAAGTCATAAATGACTTTTTCATTTCTGCTTATCAACTTTATTCTTAAAAAAGTAAATTACAATTAAATTTTATTCAATTATGTATTCATCTTTTTTTGTAGTAACTTGTTGCCAGTTTTCAGGCATCCTTTCGGTGAATTCTGAGGAACATTCTACAGGATTTGATGTGAAACTAGCAAGGGTTTTAGGTTCTGCTTTGACGGAAACTAAATTCAACGAGTGCTGTATCTATCAGTGATCAACACGCGCAGAATGGAAGTACAGTGTTTTGTAAGGAAAATGTCTGAGTAATATAAAAACAAATCAATCGTGTGCTAATGATATCGCCCGCTTTAAAGCTTCGAAAACGTTTGAGGAAAATTCTGTTGGTTTTGATGTGAATCTGTTTTTCCTAAAAGAAAGATTTCTTTATAAATGTGTTTTGCAATGATCGCAAAAGGTTATAATCAATTGGTACAAGAACAGGTGAATAAGGTGGTTCGATTAGAACAGACTAGCCGGGTTCCATTTTTGTCCTGATAATTTTTGCTGTATGCTATCATACTTGTAGGTTAATAGTATTTCCCCTGTAGACGTGTACAGGGAACCTTCTGATAAATATTCTACCGAGCCGTTGAATCTGTTGGATGCATAAATGTGAATCTAGGATTTCATTTACTTTTCAAGAACTCCAAAGAAATAGTATTCCGATTGGGAAAAACGTTAGCTTTCTTTCATGGAGATCGGCATTTAAAATTATTTGTAGGCATTTATCCAAATAAATATACTGCTTTTGTTTTGAAGATTGTCGTGTGGAACACATTTTTCATCACCTGTATGATGTATTTAAGGAGCGATTTTTTGTAATGATACATTCGTCATTACCGTGGATTCCCCAAAACTAAATTTATTTATGTAGCAATATGTAAAAAAGGGTATCGAATGAAATTTTAACAAATTCACACGATAAACCAGGAAGAAAGAGAGCAGGCCCAATAATGGAGTACTCTTGTCATATTTGTGCTGGACTCACTTGCAGGTCTTGATAGAGTTCAAAAGCGTCTCTAAGTCCTTCTTGGAGAAGAATTATTTTCCACACTCAAACCTCTCTCTTACAAACAGGATGTGGAGAGACTATCACTGCTCTCTCGCTACTTCCATTTAACGTGCTCGGACGAACAATATTCCTTGGTTCCATCAGGTTTAACCTTACCTGTTCCGATCCGCCATGCCATTTACATTGTAGCAAAACACACACATTTCCCCCGTATTCCATCGATGAGAAGTAAGTTCTATTAAAACAGCATCTTCCAGAGAAACACTGCTTCGTAGAATGGATTGTCAACAGGAAGTTTTTCTCGATCACTTCAATGTTAACCTGTTCAAGTCTAGAATTAATCGGTATCTTCCTCTCCTAGCCATATAAACTACACATTGGTGAGAAGTAAGTTCCATTTGAACAGGTTCTTCCGGCGATCCATTGCTCTCTAGAACAGAACTCCCAAGAGGATGTTTCCCCGATCACTACAATCTAAACCTGTTAAATCTAGATTTAACCGTTATCTTCCCCTCCTATTCATATAAACTACCCATTGGTGAGAAGTAAGTTCCACTCGAACAGATTCTTCCCACGATCCATTGCTCTGTGGAACTGAACTCCCAAAAGGATGTTTCCCCGATCACTATGATCTTAACCTGTTCAAGTCTAGAGTTAACCGTTATCTTCCCCACCTATCCATATAAAGTAACCATTGGCGAGAAGTAAGTTCCACTCGAACAGATTCTTCCGGCGATCCATTGCTCTGTTATTTCAGATCAGCCATGACTGTCGTTTTCTAAACTGGAGACACCCCATAATTTTCTATTTCCGCGTTTGTGAAATTAAATGTAATGTCGAATCTATTAACCTAAGTAGTAATTTTAGGTGGTACTAATAAATAATACATAATAAATACTTAATAAGTAATAAAATAATAATTAAAAAATAAATAATAAAAAATCATAAAAAAAAAAAAAAAAAAAAAATACAAAGAAATAATAAAATATAAATAATAATAATAATAATAATAATAATAATAAAATAATAAAATACCTAATAATTAATAGTAGTAAATAAATAATAGTAATTAATAAAAAATAGTTCACTAATATAACTTAGCTTTGTCAGGGCAGTAGGAGAATACACAGCTGATTAAACGATATATTTCTAAAATTTACTTCGATTTCCTTTACGATATTGTGATAGTTCATGCAAAAACAGTATAGAGAGTTGTGGAAGAATCTACAATGATTTTCATAGATAGATATGAACAGGCTAAGATAGAGAGATAGATATGAACAGACTGTGATAAATAGATAGATAGAAATTTAGAAAATAGATAGAAATTGAGAAGATATATATATATATATACATACATATATATATATATATATATATATATATATATATATATACCGAGAGAGACATAGATAGATAGATAGATAGATAGATAGATAGATAGATAGATAGATAGATATGAACAGACTGTGATTGATAGATAGATATGAACAGACTGTGATAAATAGATAGATAGATAGATAGATAGATAGATAGATAGATAGAAAGAAATTGAGAAGATATATATACATATATATATATATATGTATGTATGTATGTATATCGAGAGAGTGAGAGAGAGAAAGAGAGTCAGTGACAGATAAATAGATACATAGATATGAACAGACTGTAATAGCTATATGGATATGAAAAATTCTGAGAGAGATAAATATGTACAAGTTTATATATATATATATATATATATATATATATATATATATATATAGAGAGAGAGAGAGAGAGAGATAGATAGATAGATAGATAGATAGATAGATAGATAGATAGATAGATAGATATATATATTGACAGTGACAGACAGATAGATAGATAGATAGATAGATAGATAGATAGATAGATAGATAGATAGATATGAACCCACCGCGATCCATTGACATGAAGAAAGAAAGAAAGAAGAAGAAAGAAGACAGATAGATACCCTTTCTCAAAGGCAAATTAGATTTACTAGAAAATATGTGGGGATGTGATGGTACGCACTGCTTTAGATTTGGAAGTATTCCTTTTTTTTCTCAGTGTCGTTTAACTTTCGGGCGTTGGCGATCATATTTGTCGACAATTTCTTCTCCTTTCTAGCTCTAAAGAAAGTTTTGTCTTTTTGTTATTTCTCTTAATCCCTCTTCTCTCACCACTTCACATGAAAACATTTGGGTTGCTTATTCTCTATTCTCCTCTGGACCTCTTGATTTCAATATGACCTTAGAATATCAAATTTCTAAGCCCGCTTTCCTCATTATAATTGAGAAACATTTCTGTTGTCTCTTTCTTATACTATGTTTCAATTTTCCTTATTTGCAGTCGAGAGTATTCCCAGCATCCTTCTGCAGAAACAAATTTTTCTTGCCTCTATTCATTATCTGTGAGGAGTCTTTCCAACATTCTCTGTCATATGAGAAGATTGATATTACATTTCAGCGGACTTTTTTGATTTCTATCGAAATCTTCCTATTTCATTTTGAGAGGAATTTCCATTATTCCAATTCTTTTCGAATTTTCCGTCCTCTGTTAAAACGCAGCCTAGATATTTAGATTTTTGTGTTTCATAACTTAGAATCGGCATTCAATATCCTGCTTTCTCTTGGGTATCACTACCGTAAATTGGCATTGGCGAGTAGTTTACATCCATGCGTCATATATGGCTGTTTTATCACATATTGATTCTCAAGAGAATTGTTTTGTGTCTGTCCCCCTATATTATAATCAGATTAGTGTTAATAACTTGTAAAGAATTTCCAGTTAGCTGCTGTCCGTACCAAAGTCGTAACATTAAGCGGACTGAAATATTGATACGAACATGAAAGCGTGAATAGAAGATAAGGCTTGAAAGACAATAAAACGACGAATAAAAAGGCTTTCACCGCGTTACTCACTAGCTATAGATTGTAAATGTAAGCGATGTGAGCCTTGTTCCTTCCGTTTCATTCACTGGTCGATGATTGCTGAGAAACGACCAACGATTCAATGAATGAATAAATTCTTTAACCTACACAATATGTCGATAGAAATAAAACCAAAATACTAGTTCTTTTGATTCCGTTTTCATTTTTGTCAGGACACCTAAATCCAAATTGGTTTCAATGCCATGGGGTACTTACTGAGCTATTGTGTCAGGGTGCTGATCACGTCACCAGAAACAAGGACAGCTGAGCTACAAACAGTAGGGGTTTCGCTCCACTAGGTTCTCTGCTGATGTCTTCACACTCAGAAACTACAGAATCAGTGAAATGACTCATGAGTTTTTTTTTTGGGGGGGGTTATACAAGAGCGATATATAAATATGCCTAAGATGTTTCTCTTACAAGTATTGACATAGGTAATTGACACATAAACAATATGGTTTAGTCAAATCGAGACAAGTGTAATAAGGTCATCCTCTATTAAGAAGAGTAGTAATCGAGAAAATGCTGTCAAAACGAATAGAAAATTCTTATTTAAGGGAAAAAGAAGAGAAATAAATTACTGGCTTGCCAGTGAACCAGGTGTAGTCTTTCTGTGCATCTAGTTTTCTTATTCAGCCGGTTCGTTTATAGAATTGTCTATTCCTTTCTTTGAGGTAGGCGTTATGAAGCCCAATCGATCAACGCAGACGTCTCCAAAGTTCCCACTTCGCTCCTAGTCACATTTTTTTTTAATTAACGATTTACTTGAACGTCAATACATTTTACGCTTTTACGTATGCCCTCACTTTCCAGAACTGCAACCGATCTCTCTCTGACTTATAAGATAGATTACTAAGTAATTTTCATTTGGGAGGAAGTAACTGTAATTAACAATGCATTCTTGTAGCTACTATTTATACGTGACAAGAAGAATGAACTTATAGTACATTAAATCTTTAGTTTTTGAATGGCAGTAGCTGCGTACACAGAGGACCTTTCCCGCAGAAACAAAGATTGAACGCCTATAGCTTACCCCTCTCTATTTCTATGGAAAAAAATTTATTGAGTTTCTTTCTTTGATTACACCAGAGACGATTTTGTATAAATGCAGAAATGTTCACAATATGCAAGTGGTTCATCCGGTTTTGAACTGATAAGATAGATTTTAGCAATTTCGTCCAGTTACAGCAGTTTATACCAAATTATTAAATGGCGTATCATTGAGTATACATCGGAATTATGAAATAAAATTAAAAAAGAAAACAAGTCAAGAAAAGAAGGTGATGATTGATAAAGTGACAAGTTAAGATATAGAAAATTGAGAAATGCCACTGTTCATGGATATTCATTTGTAAAGGAATGAAGGCTGCTTTCACGGTGCATAGTCAAATTTGAACGAATTGTATGATTAAACCTGTTCAAATACGAGGTTTTAAAAATCAATAGTTTAAAGTAGTAAGCGTTTTGTTCACTTCAACATGATTCAGAAGTAAATGTTTGAAATTAAGAACATTTATCCATAATAATCGATGATCGATGTTAAAATTTACGTACAAAGAACATACATACACATGCTTATATATATATATATATATATATATATATATATATATATATATATATATATATATATATATATATATATGTGTGTGTGTGTGTGTGTGCAAATATATAGAAAAATAGGAAAGAACACGTTAGGTAAATAATCCGAAGTTCTTTAGTATTTTTGTTTTTACTTTTAAAAAACAGTGATCAATAGAAAAGTAGATCCTAAATTATAATTATAATTATTTTAAAAAAAATATGATTCCTTTGCTACATAAGAGTTTTAATGTTTCAAAAACAACAGCCAAAATCTCTGTTTCATCCTCAAGCGAAATCTTTGGAAAAATGTTCCAAAACTTTCGCTTGAGGATGAAACATGAGAACTCTTATGAAGCGAAGAAATCATATGTTTAAAAAATAATTATATTTGCGAACTTTTTTGTGTATGTTGTTTGTCTTTTTGTACTGCTATACCAGTTTTGAAAATGAATCCGTCAATCAAAATACGGAAAATTAAAGGAAGCATTATTATCCCAATATCTCTAAGTATATATATCATACTCGAAAATAGGAAAATGCAATAAAAAACCACAACATTTACGGTTAAACTCAGTAAATTTTGATTGGTTCGACTTTTTGTATGTATACATTGATTTTTATTATTATTTTAATTTGATATAATTCTATTACTTTGAATGTTATTTTTAGTGGATAGCCATATTGAAGTAGACATTCTGTTTAATTCAAAGAATATTATATTTCATTTACCGGCCAGCAATTTCGAGATTTTATTAAAGAATACGCGCGTTCTGGTCGGATTCGAACCTCCGTACCACTTTGCCGGAAAAGCCACAGTTTAATTAGACCCCCCCCCACGACTATGAAAAGCTTCATAATCATGTAGATAGATAGATAGATAGATAGATAGATAGATAGATAGATAGATAGGTAGATAAAAGTAGATATTTTTATATAGATAGATAGACAGATCGATATGTTTAGAAAGCATTGTGCTGTTCGTCTATTGAGTACTTGTAAAGGATGTTTTGTGTGCGTAATTTCTTTGTTTCCAGGTTCCTTCATTTACTCCCGTGTATATTTTTTCGTAGTTACTTGCTGATTTTACAGTGGCTTAGCATATTACATTGTTTTACAAGCAAGTGCCGTTTAAGGGATATTCGTTTTTATTCTGCAGTTACACGTAGGTTTAATTTGTTCAGATGGTTTGTTGATTGTTTTCCTGTTGTGCATTTTTTATCATATGTGTCATGTTCTCGGTGAAACTGTAATTGATTTTTATAGTGTTTTTGACGAATATCTTGTGAAAAATGATTAATGCCAGAAAATGGTTGTGTATGAGTTTAATTAATATTTTCCTACGTTTGTTTTTACGTTTTCATTGTTCGGTGGGTTGAACTATAGAATGCTTTTTTTTATTCTGATAACTTTATAATGCTGTGGGGTATGTGAGTATGAATGTTTTAGGGCTGTTTCAGATGCGATGCGTGGTAATGGATAAAGTCTCAAAATGAGAAATCGTAGAGCCGATTTCGAATTATAGCCGGCTTCTTTGTATTAAATTTTGCACAATTAAAACTGGAAAGGATAGGAAGTATCTCGTATCTTGCCAGCATGTCAAACGTTCAAGCGTGTATGACATATGTCATTTAACGCTTATATATATATATATATATATATATATATATATATATATATATATATATATATTATTAGATTAATACAAATGCAACAATTGTCACTTAGCTCATTGATGTTATTTCCAGCACTCCGACTCCAGTGTTTCGTAGACGAATACTTTTTACTTGTTTGGTCCACTCGTCGGCATATATATATATATATATATATATATATATATATATATATATGTGTGTGTGTGTGTGTGTGTGTGTGTGTGTGTGTGTGTGTTAGTCAATCGTCGTTTAGCTGAGTCGTTAATTTTGGTCGATTTATATATATTTTCTACACGAAAAAATGTTTTTAAATATAACTTGACGAAGACAGACATACCGTTGAAATATTGTTAATATTGTCGAACAGTGTCTTTACTTTTCTTTCTTTTCTTAAAGTGGGCTCTTCTAATAATAATAATAATTTTATTATTATTATTACTATCATTATTGTTATTATAATTAGAAGATTCTCGAATACGATTACAAATGGATGCTAGACGCAATGAAGGACATTTTTCTCCGTTTCTTAATATTGAGCAATTTCCGGCTTATTCTTTGCGTTCCCAAAACGTCTCCTTTCTGCAACAGTCCCGCTGGGAGCTCTATACTCATTCTCTGTATGCATTTCTCTGTTTGGTCAACCACCGAACAAAACGCACGAATGACAACTGGTATGATTGTGACCGTCTTCGAATTGCAAACTCTTGCGAATTAAATACGTCATACTTGATTCGTTTCATTTTACTTTTCTCTCTTCTTGTATCAAATGGACACGATCTAAAAATGCTTGGCCCTTGGTTTTTTGAGTTTATCTTCCCCTAATATGTCTGTGTTTTATGCACGCATTTCACCATTCTCCTCCTCCTCATCATTATCATCATCTTCTCCCTTTTCTTCTTCTTCTTCTTCTTCTTCTTCTTCTTATTATTATTATTATTATTATTATTATTATTATTATTATTTTCTTTGATTTCTGGCGTTTACACATTTCTTTCCGGGTCCCGCCCAGGGACCTAAGTTTAGAAATTGCATCATGACACTTTCCACGGACAAAAAAAAAATTACATCGATAAAGCCCTTCGTAAAGTGTGGGCTGTACTTGTCAGAACAATTTTTTCTATCTCCTTGGGGCATGGACTTCCAGGAATCCCTTCAATTAGTCTACTGCAATCTTTTCCAACCAGTCCTAGGGCTCCAACTACAACAGGGATTGTTGATGTTCCCATATGCCACGTTTTCGAGATTTCTATTTCAAGGTCCATGTATTTTGACAACTTTTTGAATATCTTCAAAGATACATTGCAGTCAGCAGGGACTGCCATATCAATAAGGAGGCACCGTTTTTGTTTGTGGTCTTTAACAACAATATCTGGGCGGTTGGCCTTGATTGTTCTGTCAGTGTGTATTGTGTAGGGCGTTATATTCAGTGGGTGCCAACACCGTACAACCTGATACAAGATGATCAATCGTTTCTGGATATATATCACAGAATCTGCATTTTAGGCTGACACAATATGTGCTTGATAATTCCTAGTTAGCAAGCATTGGTCCTGCGCAGCAAGGATAAAACCTTCAGTTTCTACTTTCAACCCTGCACTACGTAGCCACTGATGAGAACGGGTTTTGTCTACGTCAGCTTGTTTGGTATGGGCAGAATATTAGCCATGAAGCGGTTTATCTTGCCATCGCTTCTGTATCTGGTCGGTTGCCTTCGTCTTTGCTGTCTTTTTTCAGGTATTTTGCAGTTTCAGCCGGTGTATTGTGCTGTAGTTGGATCTCTACGCCCATTTGAAACTCAATTTTGAATTTGTTGGCTTCTTTCATTACGGAGTAAAGACGCTTACTACTTTCATGTTCTTTGACGCATACCATCATCCAGTCTTCTGTAGTTTCCAAATATCTTTGGAGGCCAATTGTTGTAGTTTTGTAGGACAGTTCTAGTTGAACTTATCCTCTGCCTCCTTCGGATCTGGGCACATACAGACGAGCAACATCAGCTTTGAGATGATGCATGCGATAGCAGGTGAGAAGCTTTCTCGTTTTGGCGTCCATTCGCTTAATTTTAGCTATGGTCCAGTTAAGGGCATTAAAGCTGTATTGCACCACGGGGACAGCCAATGTGTTTATGGCTGATATTCTGTTTTTTGAGTTTAGCTCAGTATTTAGTACCAGACGTACACGCCTGTAGTACTCTTTTCTTATTTTTGTCTTCATTTGGGGGTGTTGTATGCCATCTCCTTTGCTAATTCGTAGGTACTTATAAGCTTCACCATGCTCCAGTTACCTAATCTTTGTGACAAAATCTAAATCTATTAAGGATGTTTCTGTTATTCTACCTTTCTTGAATGTTACTTTTGCACATTTATCTAATCCGAAGTCCATACCTATGTCGTCACTGAAGTATTTTACAATATTGAGGAGGCCTTTCAACTCATTGTCGTCTTTGGCAAAGAGTTTGAGATCATCCATGTAGAGTGGATGATTGAGTATTTTCTTATTTATTTTGTAACCATAGCTACTGTTGTTCAGTTCATGTGTAAGAGGGATTAAGGATAAACAAAACAGAAGGGGTGACAGAGAGTCTCCTTGAAAGATTCCACGTCGGATATTCAGACGGTTGGATATGGCAGTGCCCCCGGTGTGACTAAGGTATAGTTTGGTGTTCCACATTCCCATGCTGTGATTAAGGAAATTTAATACCACAGGGGAGACTTTGTACATTTCCAAAGTCTTAAGGATCCAAGAATGTGGAACACTATCAAAGGCTTTACGATAATCAATCCACGCTGCACTAAGATTTCTGCGTCGTCTTCTGCAATTTTCCAGGATCATTTTATTTATCAGAAGTTGATCCTTGCAGCCATATGAACCTCTTCTGCATCCCTTCTGTTCCAGCGGGAGAGTGCTGTTTGTTTCGAGAAAGGAATAAGTACGGTTCGTCAGGACAGACGTGATCAACTTATACGTTGTGGAGAGACATGTTATCGGTCTATAATTTTTTGGGTCGCCTGTTTCAGTTGTTTTTGGTATGAGGTGTGTAATACCTTCAGTAATCCATTCCGGGATTTTATTGGGATTATTTACAAGCGTTGATAATGTTTTTGCAAGAATTCCATGAGTAGATGTGAGATGATACAGCCAGAAATTGGGCAACTTGTCATTTCCTGGGGATTTCCATTTTTGGGATTTCGTTAGAGCTTGCCTAACATCATCTGTGGATATATTTTCCCATTCTTGCAGAGGTGTATCCAGCAGTCGTTCTTCTTCATGCCGTATCCATTCTGCATTTGGGTTATATTCCTTTGGGCTATTCCAAATATTTTCCCAAAATGTCTGTACATTATCAATCGATGGTGGCCTTTCGACATGTATAGGTGTTTTTCCAATTTCCCCGTAAAATTTCTTAAGATATGTTCGGAATATTTTATTTTTACGATAGAACTACAACGTTTTTCGTATCGTCTTGTTCTCTGCGCCTTTAGCTGAAGTTTCTGCTTCAGCATTTCCTTGATTGATGGAATATCAATTAGGGATTTAATGTTATATTTCCGCTTGATCTTTTTGCATTTATGTGTGGAAATATTAGGGTTTCTGGTGAGCTCATCTAATATAGAAAGCTCACATCTGATTTGTTTTATTTCTCGAATCAGTTTGGTTTTCCAAGCTGGTTCTCTGTGTCTGTTAATTTTATTTATTGTCTTGACCCCAAGCTTCCGAGTCGCTGCTAAAGCTGTTGAAGCTGTTAAAGCTGTTATTATTATTATTATTATTATTATTATTATTATTATTAATATTATTTTGTTATTGTTGTGTTGTTAAATATTAGAATTTTCTCATGGATTAAAAACCAAACAAAGATATTCAAAGTGTACGGTGTATGATATTATCTTTGAGAGTTTATTTGGTGTTGTTCTCTTTTACATTAATTTTGTAATTGTGATGAAAGTTACGAGTGGAAAGACATCAAACACAGTCGATCAAAAACAGTTCTCTTTATACGCAATGTAGTTAGTCATCCAAAGCTAATATGCCTCGATGGTTGATGGTATCAAAAGTTTATTCTTTTACAATCAATGAACTTGGAATTGACGCTTTCTTGTAAAAAGTGAAATGGTAATGCAACGCATCTACGCGAATGTCTGACTCGCAACAAAGAAACGACGGAAATCGATTTTTGTCCTTTTACGATTATCGTAAGAGCGCTGGAGAGGCGAAAGTACCCTGAGGCGTGATTCTGAATTCAAATTTCCTTCTATAAGGTAATTTTATAAAGAAACTAACCACTCCAGTTCTGTTGCATCAATAATGACTCTTTTTT